CTGATCTTAAAACTTACCTGAGTAAGTTGGTGACCCATGCGAAAATGGGCCATCTTCCAGCTCCGAGCCCCACGTTCCTAATCCCCCACCACAGGCATCTGAACTCTTGGTGTGCCATGGACCTCTCAGCAGTCTGGCAAAGCCTATGAACCATTCCTCAGAATAATGTTTTTAAATGCATAAAATAAATGCGATTACAAAAGAAAAAAATTAAATTTAAATGCTATTATTAAAATATTAAACAAGTTTCTGATATAGTAATACATAAGCTTCTTTATTAATGCATTAAAAAACCAACCCCAGCAGTGGGTCTAACAACTACCATAATCTTGAAATAGTGATGAGCAAAATCAGTATTCAAGATGGAACAATTATGGCTTCATCCACAACTGTGAAATGGGATATGAAAACATCTGCGATGTCTATGGGTGACAAGGTCCTGAGGACCAAGAACACCATGTGGTTTGTGGCCATGGTCGGTGACAAATAAAGATGTAATTTTTCCCATCCACGTTCACAGCCCCTAAATTCTATCCACAGACACCTGGGAGGTCACAGACCCTGCGCCCAAGCTCCCTCTTGCCACTGCTCCCTCTTTATTCAGCCGGGAGAGAGGTGGCGTGGGTAGTGGTCAGTCGTCAGCATGCACACATGCGTGGGACTCTCAGAAGCAATGGTGTCAGCAGAGCCACCTCAGGCCCCAGCAGTGCACCCTGTCACTGCCAGCGAGCCCAGGGTCTGACATCTGTCACCTCAGAGGGGTCGTCCCATGTCGGTTCAGTGCTTTCTCCAGCCAGAGAGTCTGTCTCTGGCAACAATACCAAGAACCAGTTCAAGAATGTGTGTGTTGTTCTCCATGATGTCATTCTCCAAGATCAGGAAATGTTCCTCAAATATCCTTTATGCTTATTTACTGAAACTTTATGTGCTTGGTCTGCACTTTCCTCAGGATAACATGTTCCATACATTCACTTCCCCTAGGAAACAAGTACTTTCATATCTCCAGCCAAACTTTGTGTCTAAGATTTACATCCATAATTCCATGTGGGTGTCTAAAACTGGATTTATCCTCTTCTCCTCAAAATCAGGTTTTCCTCCTGACTTTCCTGACTTTTCTCCTCCTGTTAGTAGCATCACCAACAACTATGGAAATCGCAGACTTTTCAGCCACCACTCCCCCTTCCTCAGCCCTACTCCCCAATCCTGCAGTGACCCAAGTCAGGGAGCTCCTGTGTTCACTCTCTGTTCCCTCTCCATTCTACAGTTAGTTTACAGCCTAACCTGGATCACCGTTACCCTTGCCTCTGCTTCTCGGCTGCTCGGAGACGTCCCCACACAGGCTGCTGCCAACATCAGAGGGCAGCTCTGATGATATTGGTTCCCTGCTAAAAAATCTCTATGGCTCCAATAGCCTCCTGAACTAAACGCAGGCCTGGGCACAAGCATCTCCTGTCCCGGCCCCAGACCCCTGTGCAGCCTCTCCCATCCCGGACCCGGACCCTGGTGTGGCCTCTCCCATTACGGCCCCAGACCCCAGTGCGGCCTCTCCCATCATGGCCCCAGACCCCAGTCCGGCCGTCTGCCCCACGCTGTGCTGCAGTCAAAGTCAGCAGCTGTTTGTTCCATGAGAAGAGGAGCAGATATTTTACCTCATTTGTTTTCTGGCTTACTGCCTTTCTCACGTGGTACCTTTCTTCTGAAATGTGTTTCTCCAGAGACTTCTTTTGTTGAAACCCTACCCTTTCTTCAAAGACCATCTCAAGCAACACCCATTTTTGAAGGCTTTCTTGATGTGCTTCCACCATCCCAACTGAAGAGAACCACCCTGCTTTCAGCCTCCAGAGCATTTTTCATAGCACTGTCTGCCTCTGCCTTCCACTATGATCTAGTACTCTCGCCTCACCCACCTCGCTAGGTTTCAACTTCCTTCAGGGTCGGGACTGCTTTAATTCATCCTTGCTCCTCCAGTGGTGCTTGGCACCGTGTCTTTTACAATAGGCTCCCAGCATATGTTTCCAGTTGAACTGAAAGGATTCCCATGCAGAAAATGAGTTTGCAGGAATAACTTGCCTCACACTTTTCATGTGCCGCCGAATGATAAGCTAGCTGGTGGGTGTTCACCACCTCTAATTTATGGATTGATTAGTGAATTCCAGTGATGCTGCTTGCACCTGGCCTTCCCCAATATGGTCCACAGACTAAAGTGTTCCCCAGCATTCCAGCCGCTGTGCTCATTCATCCTGCTGGGCTCTGCCTGGTCAGCATGAGCTCCGGGAAGCCTTCCCTCACCCCGAGTCTGGCTTCATGGGCATGCAGCCTGTGTAGGAGCCCAACACTTAGGAGGGGGCCACACTTGGAGGCAGGCTCTGCTGTGATCATGAAATTCCTAATAATTTTTTAACAAAGGCGCACATTTTCGCTTGCTCTCCACTCCACAAAGGAAGCGGCCAGTCCTCTCCTACATGCTCTGCTGTTCCTGTGTTTTCCTGATCTTTACAGTCATCACTCAGAGTTTAATTTTCTGTTTACGTCTGTTTACTACTCCACATGCCTCAACAGACCCTACACTCCGTGAAGGCGAAAAAAGAGAAGAATCTTGTTTATTGTCATATCCGTGGCTCAGCCTAATATTATATACTTAATCAATATTTGCCGATTGGGTAAATGAATGAATGGTTGCAGGAAGGAAGGAATTAATGAATTAGTGAGTGGATTTGTCCGTCTACAGCCCCATGGGCAGCCAGAGCAGTGGAGCTCCTTGGCTTCACCCTTCAGAAGGGCCCTACAACAATAACAGAATTCTAGGACAGACCTGCTCTCGTTAGAAAGGAGGGCAAGATCAGCCCAGGGAAGGGGCTGGGCGAAGTGGCAACATGAAGGAGCAAGATTAAACAACACCGAATACTAATGGAAAAGGAACCAGCAAAAGGACATGTGCTGTAGACTTGTTCTGAATAAAGTACAGAGATCACGAAGCTGCCTTGGGATGCTCTGGGAGAGAGGAAGTGTCTTAGTGATCACATAGTCCCCTGCCGGCTTTTCCTGATGTTTTCTGGTAATCAGGGCGTCTCTGGACACCAGACACTCTCCAGAGGCAGACATTCGCTGCATTTATTTGAGGCCACATGGACCTCCTAGCTACCTTAGTGACTCCTGAATTTCACTTTCTCATTAGTAGTTTGGGGGTCATACAGGGGCACTGGAATTTGATTTCTAGTGTACAATTTCTAGTCCGTTAGGGCCCATTTAAAGTGTGATCCAAAGTATCTTGAATCATCAGATGCATGAGTCCACATGTGATGGGTAGTTGTTGACGTGTACTGGGTGCTCTTTGCTGCTGGACCCCTTTTCCTTGGAGACTTCTCCTATTTGGAATGACTGTTATCTCAGTCTGAAGAGATAGAGAGGTGTCCCCAAGATTCCTGCTGAGCCAGGAATGTTACTGCCATTCTCGTCCATGCATGCTTATTCGGCAGCGCTGTGCTTGAAGACACTGCTTGAACTCCCTTTCTGCTCTGCAGCCTTAGATAAGTTACAGATGTTCTTATTCTCAGTTTCTGTATCTGTAAAATTGGAATAATGATATTTCTACTCCATAAATTTGTGAGGATAATGTGGATTATGCATGAAAGGGCTTAGCACAGTGTCCAGCTTAAAGGAAACTCTATGAATGTTAATAATTATTATCAGTATACAGAATATGAGCAATTATGAACATCTACTCAGTTCTGTGTTGCGATAGATATAAGGAAATAAGGAATCTGCGGTATCAGTTAAGGATTGGCAAAGTTTTTCTCTAAAAGGCCAGTGAGTAAATGTTGTAGTCTTGTGCGCAATCCTGTTTCCATCACAACTACTTGGTTCTGCAGTTATAGTGCAAAAGCAGCCACAGACAGTAACATAAACAAATGGGAGTGGCTGTGTGCCAATAAAGCTTTATTTATACAAGCAGTCATTAGGGGCCAGATTTGTTCTCCAGGCCATAATTTGCCAATCCCTGGCCATAGGCACTTGGGAGCTCTCAGTCAAGTGTGGTAGGAAGACTTGTGAGATTGTCAGGGCAAGCCAAGAGGAAGCAGAACTAACTCTACTGCCATACCAAAGAACACTGAAACTGATATTTTAAGGGAGATTATTGTAAGAGCTTCCCAGAGATGAGTAAAAGTAAAAAATAGGGCCTATAGCAAATATCTCAGGTACTGTGGTTTTTTTTAAATCTTGCATTTCGGGATAAGTAACTTCAACTTTAAACCAGAGCCTGCCCTTTTAATTAGACATTTTCCTTGGGAACTCAGTTCCCCTGGAGATCCCCAAAGTTCCACGTTTCTAGGAATAAAAATGTCTGTAGATTTATTGGTAGAAAGTGCTGCTCCTTGTCATTTTGGTATGAATAGACAGAGCCGAAGGGTCATTTCTCCAGCAGTTTGTAAGGAAATAGAAAGTACATGGGTAGCAGAGGAAATCATTCCCTTCATGTTCTTTTCTTATTATTGTTATAAAGGAATGACAAATGAGAGTCCAGGAGCAATATTAGACTGTGAAAATGAGCCAGTGGCTTAGTGACAACCATCTAGACCTTCTGACGGTTCATCAGTGCTGCCAAATGTGAGGCAGACTCTGCTGCTTTAAAGGACAGGAGAGCAAGCGCACACCTGCTGGGTCTTTCTCAGGGTCCCTGCTTGGGAAGGGAGTATATGGGAAATTCACAGATTCCTAGATGTGGACATTTAAATACAGAATGCAACACACATGCACACACAAACATACACATACACACACATGCAACCTTCTCTTCATCAATAAAGTTGCAGAGGAGCCCCATTTGCATTGCACTTCATAGTGTATCTTGATATTCAAAATGGCTAGTCCCTTCCAGGCCTCTGAGATTTAATCGATGCCAATGCAAATGGGTCTGGGGCTTTATTCACAGAAACAAAAATTAAGTCTGTCATGATAAGGCAAGGTTCTTATCAAATTTTTCTTTTTTTGTTGTTTTACAGTTTTCTCCTTGTCTTTGGTTGCTTGATTTTGTCCGTGTTTTCAACCATCCCTGAGCACACAAAATTGGCCTCCAGTTGCCTCTTGATTCTGGTAAGTGAAACATATGAGCAAAAACGTACAAAAAAGTACATAAAGCAATGTAAAAACTGTCTATAATATTTATGCTATGCATTTTATCCCACAAAAAGTCCTCTCTAGAAAAAAGAAAATTACTGTGAAGTGTACAAGTTTCAAAGATTGCTGAGAGCTTTGCCCACCATTTTAACCTTTAGTCAATCCTCAGGAACATACAGAAATATTCAGGATTGCTATTATATAGAATATCTTGTGTTATAGTTACATCATAAATAGAAGACAATACTTGGAAGCAGTTTTAATTATGTTTATCTATGGAAATAAACAAATTATACCAAGAATCAATATCCATGAGTTCTCTCATTGTATTGCTAAAAGTTGCAGGATAGAGAGCATTTTCCAGTAACTGCAATTAGGGAGTATCTAAGTATAATTGGCCAAGAACTATGAGAATATAGCACTTCATAAGAAAACAGAGGCTCCTTCATGCTCTTTCAACAGACAACTTGCACTGTGAGTTTTGCTGCTAATGCGATTACCTGGTGAAAAATTCTGCAGTTTGCTCTGATTTCATTATGCTGTCAATCCTCAACCATACAGAATTGCTCAATTCATTTTAAAATGGAAAAAGACCCCAAGATATTTTAGTCTGAATCATTCTGGGCCTTTTAAGCTCTTATACTTTCTATTACAGCTAAACTATAGCACTGTATATTCAAATCACATCTGGTTGAATGTTTGGCTCATTTACATCCATTTTGACCCATTCACTTAGTCCAAAAATATCAGACTTGACAGTCTCAGAACTGTCTGAATGAACTATAAACTGGAACAACTCACGTCTTCTATAAGACCTGGTGGACGACAGGAAGAGAGAGAAAGGGGTGATGGGATAAGATGGCTGCATGCCCAGTAAGCAGAGATGGTTATGGACAGCAATAAGCATTTAATATTAGAAGATCATTCTTACCTTGAAGGTGGAAACTGAAAGATGTCAACCCACATTCCTGAGCGGAGGGCAGCTGCTCTTCCTACCTGAGCTTTCAGAGGTTAGTTTGTGCTTGAAGTTACCCAGACTTCATCAAGTCTCAGTCCTATGTCAGGAAAAAATCATTTTTGAGCCTGGAACAAATCTATCCCAATTTGTTTCCATACAAATTGTACTCAGTGGTATATTGCTAATGTTAAGGTTACTATTTTAAAACCCAAGATAGAGAACAAATAGACAGAAGGGCATGTTAGGGATTTGTTCCATTTACAAGGTTTCCATTTGGGTAGCAAGTGGGCTTTTATCCTCATGCATGCCTTTGATAACAATAAATGATTTGAGCCCAGGGTCTCAGGCACAGCTGGCTTTTAGGTTCACATACAGAACGATAACTAGGAATTTTAGATTAAAAATACAAATCTGATTTTTAGACTTGGGAACATGAAAAACTGGATCTACTGCATGACCAATGATATATATTATGAATAAAGCAAGCATTATGAATGCAGTAAAAAGATTTCTGTCATAACCAGGCCAAGAATCCAAAATGTTAGGTTTACATCCCCCAAATCTCTGAAATATAAATTCAGTCATTGCTAATGAGTTTCTAAATAGCGCAAAGAAACTCAAATAACCCTTTGTTATTATAAAGGCCAAAGCTGATTACTATCTTGATTTTAAAACTGTTTGAGCAGTGAACAATTGATCAGAGTTGAGTAACTAGAGTACATCTGAGTAGATGAAAAATGTCAGTGCTTTCAAACATCCTCAGTCTTTTTCTCTCCAGCCTTATTGAAATATAATTGACATATAACATGTGGAAGTGTAAGGTGTACAACATGATGGGGTGACATACTTACATATTGCTAAATGATCACCACAATAAGGTAAGCTAACACATCCCTCACCTCACATAATTACCATTTTTTGTGTGTATGGTGAGGACTTTTAAGATCTACTCTCTCAGCAACTTTCAAGTATACGCTACAGTATTGTTACCTATGGTTACCATGCTATGCATTAGATCCTCAGACTTGATCGTCTTATGACTCAAAGTTTGAACCCTTTGACCATCTTCATCCATTGCCCGACCCTTGCCCCTGGCAACCACCAATCTACTCTCTGTTTCTATGAGTAATAATCCACATATTAGGGATATCACACAGTATTTGTTTTTCTCTGCCTGACTGTCTCACTTAGCATAATGCCCTCAAGGTCTGTCCATGTTATCTCAAATGGCAGATTTCCTTCTTTCTCATGGCTGAATAATATTCCATTGTATATATATATCACACTTTCTTTATCCATTCATCCATCCATCGATGGGCACTTAGGTTGTTTCCATGTCTTGGCTGTTGGGAATGATGTTGCAATGAACATGGGAGTGGAGATATCTGTTTGAGATATTGTTTTCATTTCCTTTGGATATACACCCAAAAGTGGGATTGCTGGATCATATGGTATTTCTATTTTTAATTATTTGAGGAACCTCCATACTGTTTTCCATAGTGGCCTCACCAATTTACATTCCCATGAGCAGTGTATGAGGGTTACCTTTTCATCACATCCTCACCAACACTTGTTGTCTCTTGTCTTTTTGGTAATAACCATTCTACAGGTGTGAGGTGATATCACATTGTGGTTTTGATTTGCATTTCCCTGATGATGAGCGATGTTGAGCAGCTTTTCATGTGCCTGTTGGCCATCTGTATATCTTCTTTCATCCCTCAGTCTTGAATACCTTTGGATTTAGCAAAGTAGAAACCAGCCCCTCTATGCAAATGAGCCCTTTGTTTTGAACAATGTAGTAAATACTGCAGTTGGATGTTCTCAGAAAACCTTGGTACACGGCTTTCCATAGGGAGAGTGTTTGCTTATCCTCCTATTTTTGTGCTATAGTGATAAATCATCAAGGTATATGTTTTAAACCAAAGTGTAGTCTTAAAACCTGCCTAGAAATATGCAGGCTTGGAGGAGGATTGGCAATAGATGTTAGCTCAGAGCTGGTCTTCCTCAGCAAAAAGAGGAGGATTAGCATGGATGTTAGCTCAGGGCTGATCTTCCTCACAAAAAAAAAAAAAATAAATATATATATATATATATATATGCAGGCTTTGTTGTGGGTCTAAGATTTTACTGATGTTTTTCTTCTTCACCAATGTTTTCTCTAAAAACTGTTTTATTTGGACAAAAAAATTTAAGTATAGGCTTTATTTTTCTTCTTATTTAGTAATTAATAAATTAGAGAAGTATGCATATTTTAATTCTTTTTCACAGTGAGTTAACATATATATCATAAAATTTCAATCATTTGTAGGATATTGGAAAAAGCCAAGAGAAATCTTAACGATTTAGGAAATCTCTTATTTATTATCTTTTATCATGTATTTGAGGTAGTTAATCTGATTTCAAAGTCTGTCTATCCTCTGAACATCCAATCAAACAGAATTCATACAACACAATTCTGACTAGTAGTGTTTTTACTTCCCAAGATGGAACCTATCTAAAGAATTGTCATCCAAATAGTAATAGGAATGGCTTTTAAAATGTTTGTAAAAATTTATAATAAAGCCACTTTTGTACACTTTTGGTCACAAATCACCAGAGGAGTAAATTTTAGAAGAATTATATATAAATCATACATCCTAATTGTATTTTTTCTATCCCATTTGTTTTATTTTTTTAACATTTTAAAAGATGTTCCTATATTTTAACTCTAATTCTATTTCTGTGCAAATCAAAGGCACCCACGCTTCCCACAGGGAGCACACTAGCCTCTAGACAAACTTCCAGGAAGCTCTTAGTGGAGCACTTTCCTCCTGTTCCCCGAGGGCACCAGCTTATCAGGGGCCGGCCGCTGCTCTGGACGGGGTCTGGCTCACCACCTGGGCCCTTTGGAGTCTCCAGCTTTCAGTGCACACCCAGGGTAGGCTCTCTTCCTTTCATCAGAACCGCCCTCCCCAGTCTACTTGAAATCTGTAACTCACTGGCCTGGGCTACAAGCCAGACGGGTACCTGTGTTAATCTGCTCTTTTGTTCTTGTCGGCTGTGTGAGCTGCGAGTTCATGCTGTGCACCAGGTGCCCTGCTTTCTCTCCACAGACGCAGTGGAGCACAGAGGCAAGGGTGTGAGGAGAGCCTGGAGCCAGGCACAAGAGTTCAGGTTCCACTCCTACGACTTCGTAGCTGTGACTTTGGGAGATCATGTCCCTGTGTGGACAGTCATATACCCTACTTCCTAAAGTTGTTGTGAGGATTGAATTTGAGTGCTTAGAACTGGGCCCAGCCAGAGAAGCCACAAATATCATCATCACCGGCTCTTCCACACGTAACGGGGGCCTAACCGTCAGACAGAAGCACAGGTGAACCTGAACCCTAGACTATTTGAAAATGCTACATTGGAGAAAAATCATACTTTTCTAATAGAAAACAAGTATCTTTGCAAGAGTTTTCTCAGGACAAACACTTACTTCTGGCAGCTTTCTGCACAAACGTGTCCATCTAACAAAAGGAGACTCAAGGGCACGTGTTCAGCGTGCAGTGTGTTCACAGCAGCCACTTATTTTGGGTGACTAATGAAACTGGTTCTTATTGTTGTAGTTTTTTGGTAAATGTGTCTGATGACAGCACTCATGGCTCTGTGAGCTCTTCTCTGGGTGTCTGCACCTGCTGAGTGGAGCTCTAGGCAGCACAGCTCCTTGTCTGATGGACTTGCTTGCTCTGCTTCGTTCCCAAGAACATGATATGAAGTTGTGCGCCCAAATACCAGGGTCAATTAAAAGCTTGTGTTAATTTTCTATGTTTTGTAAATTCTTCAAAACTGGAAGGGAGCTAGCATTTTTTAAGTAACTTTCATTTATGACTCATTGATTTCTTATTAAAACAAACAAAAAAGCTTGCAGTATTACTCCCATTTTACTGAATGGCTAATTAAGTTGCAAGATCACTCACCAAGGATGAGACAGATCCAAGATTCCCTGCCAGGCCTGGCTGACTAGGAACCTGGGCTGTCTTCAAGTCATCCACAG